CTTCTGCCTTATTGGACACGACATTCAGATCGGACTTACACTCTACATTGGGATTGAACTGTGTACGACATTCGGAGATCAGACTTGGGTTGGACTTGGTTACTATGTCCCTCCCCCTTCTCTCTCGCATGTCTATGGATCTCTCCCCATGTGTGTGAGCGGAAGGGCAATCTTTCTGATGTCTTGCCCTTCCGAAGTTTCTCCCTTTCATGTTGTCGTCCACATGTCCTTTGATACTAAATCTTCCGCTGCGCTGCTTCCCAGCCTATGATGATAATGATACGAATGTGTTGTTGTTGATTTCTCGTTGTTTCACTCTTTGCATCGTGTACATTGACACCTTGTGAATGTTGCACCTATGCTGCTGGTTGTTGCCACTTTCGTCATTGCTAGATCCTAGGCTTTCAGTGCATTTCACTTTCTGATATGCTACAAAGCGTGAGTATGTGAAGGCTGTATTCTTGTCACCTGCCAGGGGAAAAATAACCGACTGACGCTCCCCCAAATGGATTTGGAGGTAGCCTCAGCTAGGGCCATAAGGACCTGTTTCAGAAAGAAAAATGAAAAAACACTTGAAAGAGTGGAGAGAAAAGAAAGGCAAACGCAAAGGAAAGCAGGTTTGGACAGCAGCAAACACACAGTTATTGTGATGGGGGGAAACGAGCAACGGCGCTGGAGAACAGCAGAGGGTTCGAATTTAAGGGACCATGTGATGGGGGAAAACGAGCAACGGCGATGGAGAACGACAGAAGGATCGGATCTAAGGGACCATAAGATGTGTGACGGAGGAGCACTGGCAAAAGCGTCCACTTGTTCTACATTCATTATCTCTAACCAACTGAGCAACGTAAACAGAAACACAAACTGGTTGACTAACTTGACTTGCCATTTCGTCGAATAGAAAATAAGACCACCACTGGAAACTCGAAAGCTAGGCTGCAGGATTTTTTTTCTTTTCTTTTTTTTTGGACCATTTATCGATTTATGTGTGTCATCCTTGCTCAGGGACCATGCTAATCTTCTCTGTGTCGTTCCAATTTTTTAATGGATGTTCGGAAGGACATAATTTATTAATTTGATTATTAAGTTATTAACACACATCTTTTTACAACGACTTGCAAGCTGTTTTGTTGTTGTAAAGGTAGCAGAGCAAAAAATTCATACGTACAGGAAGAATGTCCAATCTTTTCTCCATTTAAAAAACACCAGTCCAAAATCCGCACAGATATAGGCCAGCGTCGTAACGTTTGGTCCAAGCCTACGTTCAGGAGTCAAAAGTCGTGTCTCTTGTCTTAGAGAGGTCTGAGAAAAGTCATGGGTTCGACAGGTACCGGGTCCAGGGTCAAAAGAGGATGTCTGTACCCCATGCAAGGTAGTTGACTCCAGGAGACCAGGAGTCACATCCAAACTCGGGAATCCTCAGGAGTCAACCACCGCCCACCGCCACAGATCTGATGCACAATCAAAGGCTGACTGTACTGCTCCGGGATTTCCAGGGCCGCTGAGATGGCGAAATCTCAACTGTCAGAGGCAGCAAACTGTAGCAGGCCAAGACCGGTCAACTGTAAAGAATCTGTGTTGCACATCTTGGAAGCCATAGCACTGCTGAGCGAGGTTGGCGCCAGAAGGAAGAAGGCAGCGCCAACCCAGGAAGAAGCGAATAGTCATGGCTAGGAAAGGCGCCTGTGCACCATAGCTGTAGAGTAGAGGTAGGGTGAGGAAGAGGGTGATCAGGACTGTGAGGAGAGAGAGTGAAAGAGTGGGAAGCTTACCTTGGCTTACCTGTTGTCGCTAGTGATACAGAAGCTGCGGTTCACAGTGGGAGGCTGGCGAAAGGCAGGCGTCAACCTCCATACCTAGGTGCTAATGCTGGAGGTTGGGTGCACCTCTCTGGCACCTGCAGAGGGCCTTCATTGGTGTCTCCAGGGAGGGAGATGACTCTGAGGTGGCGAGTTGGTGGAAGGAGGTCCCGGATATGAAGGGGGTAGGAAGAGCCATTTCAATAATCTTGGATTGTTAATGAAACTATCCTCCGTCTCTCTCCATTACTTCTCGACCTTTGTCTACTTCTGGTGACTCGCTACTTATTCTGGGACTATATTGAGTGCTTCATTGCTTATTCTGCATTGTGATTGGTTCCTTTTGACTGCATTGGGAGTACTCGCATGATGTAGCTGTGGAAGCTTTCTCATGATGGTCGGGCTCATTGCAGGTGCGCTTGGTGCAGTTTAAAAAGCCGCCATGACCCCCTAAGATCATACCATACACCCTTCCCAAGACTCAGGTCGTTTTCAGGTCGGAAGAGGCCGCAGGTTCTTTCTCTCCTTTTTTTGCAGGGAACATGCGTGTTTTTGGTTATCTAAGAACTCGTGTGTATCTCTGAATTTCAAAAGATTTGATAATGATCACTATTTTTGCAGTCACTTGTTCAAGTGTGTTTTTATCGAGAGCAAGGATGACTCACCAAAATCAAATGTATTTTCCATCTGGGAATTGACAAGAAAACACCTGAGAAAAGAAAAAGGAAAAAGGGAAAAAGGAGAAGAAAAAGCAAAAAGGAGAAGAAAAAGAAAAGGAAAAGAAAAGAAAAAGAAAAACAACACAAGAGAAGAAGAAAAGGGAAGAAAAGAGACAAAAAGAAAACGAGGAACAATAGAGAAAAAAGACAGAAAATCTTCCACTTACCCGCAGTAAGTCAACTGACTGGCAGTATTGCTCAAGAAGTTTTCTATTACAAATCCTGGAACAAAGGGGCAGGCAACAATATGTCCAACAACCCATCAGTCTGCAAAAAGAAAAAGTTGGGATGTCCCAATGTGACACCATGCAGGAGCACTGTGTGAGGATGCACTAGTTGCAGAAAACCAGAAGCAAATGCAAGGCTACCAGGAGCACCGTGCGGAGGCATATGCGTTTGCTACAGTCAGGACTATTGTAATAGGAAGAGCAACCTTCGAGGAGCAGGGGAGGAGGAGGAGGAGGAGGAGGAGGAGGAGGAAGATGAACAGGGAAGTGTGGGGGCAAGAAAGCAGGACAAGTGCTTCATAATCCAGGGGCTACGGCTGCCAAACTTGGTTTCTGACTTGACTTTGTGATAGCTGTGATGCTGTATTATTGCACAACCTATCACTCGGCCATTCAGTCGAACAAACGGAGGCAGCGAGTGAGGAAGGAGGAGGGAGGAATGATCCGCGCTGTGTGGTGATTTTCATTCTCTGCACAAGTTCCCTTGCTGGTTGTCAACCTTATCTCACTTTCTAGGAATACATTCGACTGCCACACATTAATCTTGAGCATTCACCATATACTTTACGTGCGAGACAGGACGAGGCAAGACAAACTTTGAACTGGCGTGATTCTGTATGATTGCATAACCTACCAGTTCACCATTCAGTTGAATGAACTGAGGCCGGGAATGAGGAGAGAAGAGGGAGGAGGGAGCAGGGAGCAGGGAGCAGGGAGCAGGGAGCAGGGAGCAGGGAGCAGGGAGGAGGGAGGAGGGAGGAACGATCTGCAACTTTGATGCGTGGTCATTTTCATTTTCTGCCCAAATTTTGTTGCCCGTCACCAACCTTATCTCACTTTTTTGGAATAGATTTGCTTACCAATCTTAAGCATTCACCCTTTTACTTTTGGTGTGAGAGAAGACTAGGCAAGCCAAACTTTTGTGAGGAACGAGCCCTCAAGGAGCCCTATCAGACATCATATGTCCTGGGCTAAGGCCCCAGCAAGCCAAGTGCCCGCTCTAAGTGAAGGCGGGCCTGAATATTCGTCAAAGGCCAAAATTCGACATTTCCGTATGTGGGTATTCAGGCTCTCGCAGCACACCAGTTGGTTGGGTAGACGCGTGAGCCTCACTAAGTTGCGTCGTACAGTTGGCCCAGGCCTTGACCGTTGCGCCTGGGCACATACACACAAAGCAGGGCCGATACATTGGGAAGCAGGCCATCGGCCTTTGGAAAAGCAGTACTGCCGATGCACCTACCTGGGAGCCCTGCACGGATGCAGTAAACAACCCACGTCCGGAGACTCAGGCCGTGCCCAACTGAAAAGGGCCCAGGCCCTCAACTGTAGTCTCGGGCCTGGGCGCAGGGTCTGAGGCCCAACCGGGAAGCTTCCAGCCAGGCCTCACACATCATCGAGGAGGCTGCCACTTCCATAAAAGAAGTGAGGCAGCCCAGGCCAGGCATTCTGGCCATGCTGGCAATGCGGAAGTGCTGCTGTGCTATCGCTTGATGCTGCGCTGCTGCCAAGGGCGCTGACGGGGCGCGTAGTGGTGAAGTGAGGCGCTGCAGGGCAGCGGGGCGCAGGCAGCCATAGCCGGGCTGCTGGGCGCCAGGGGGTAATGCAGGCAATCGGGTGGTCTTCAGGGAAGGAGGCGAGTGTGAGGTGATCAAGTTCTGACTGAGGGTGACGAGATACGTACCTGGTGCATGAAGAGAGGTCGGCTATGGGGTTGACAGTCATGCACATTGGTCTTCAAGAGTCGAAGTGAGCCTGTTCCGTGAACCAGCTGTAGGTAGGATAGTCGGGTAGAGTAGCGCTAGGCACCAGACAGAGTGGAGTGACTTTGGATACTGTGTTGGTGTGGCCTACGGGCTTGAACATTGGCTCATTACTTCATTGTATTGCTCTATATGGATGGTTTCTCGGTGCATTTGTACTCTCCACTTGGATACGACTACCTGGACATCTGTGTGATTCCGCAACTCAGTTTTCTGTATATCGCTCACACTCATAGTCCTTGCAATTTGCGCTCACATGAAAGTACAATATTCTGGCCTGTTGCCATAAATTCAATGCAACAAAGAAGAAAAAAACAGATATAATAATTCATGTCTGCTGAGCTCGGAACAATCCAATAGCTTATGACAACGTAGATTTTAGAGTCAAATTCGTTGGAGAAGATGCAAAACAGACACCCATAAAGCATTTGCAGATAGTAACCCACCACAGACTATGATGAGCTTACAGAAGGCTATCAACATTTGCAGTTCAACAGCCTTACGAGACAGACGCCTACTCATTGCAGGACCTTCAACGAGTATGGGTGCCCTAAAGCAGATGACCAATAGCAGACAAGCAAATGAGCCGACCCTGGGTCCTTTGGGACCCTATATAAACCGTGCACAGAGAACCCTGCACATGGAGGGCTGACTCATACAGATGGTCCAGATCAGTGGACGCTCAGGTGCCGTGGAAGGCTCTAAAAACTTTTCAGGCCTTACCAGACACAGGCAGGCCACTTTTTTTGTGGCCCAATCTGGGCCGCTGATCTTTTAAGATCAGAGACCCAGTTTTGGCTGTAAAAGATTCCTGCCAGAGGGAGTCTAGGATCCGAATGCCAAACCCTCCCAGCCCCACCACCCGCCCCCACTAGTTGACGTTGCAGTCCCTCATCGACATTGCCGGATTGTCTGGGATGGAGAGCCATCATCGTTGTCTTCGTGTCACCATTGAGGCTGCGTTGCCATCGACGAAGTGTGCATCATTACCCACCTCAACACGCCACCCACCATCAGTAAGAGAGGGCGAGAGAGAGACAGAGATATTGTCCTCCTCCTCGTTTCTCCTCTTCACCATCCTCCTCCTTGCACTCCCGCCCCTCCTTCTGCCTCCTTCTCCTCATCCTTCATGCTTGTCTCCCTCCTCCTTCCTCCACATCTTGGACTTGACCTCCTCCTACTTCTCCCTCCTCATTGTCCCCTCCTTCCTCCTCCTCCCCCCTCCTCGTCCTCCTCTTCCTTCCCCTCCTCCTGTCTCCCCCCATTGCATGCAGCATGGCACGCGGTTTTTGTTTTTTTTGCCCATCTCGTCTGACTTGTCCTCTTCCTTCGTCCTCTCTCCTCCCATTTTGCGCCATGCAGCACAGTGGCACACAATTTTTTTTTATCAGACTTGCCCTCTCCCTCTCCTCCTCCTCGCTCCTCCACCAGCCCCCACCCCCCCTCCTCCTTCCACCTCAAAACCCAGACATACCATTTTCAAAATATAACGCTGGATTTTGCATGCTCTCGAGCACAGAACAGCCTTGAATTCAAAAAAATAAAAAAATAAAAAACTCCCACGCACTTTACTGCAATAAACCATGTTGTATGCCTCGTGGAAACTGAGGACCGCGCCAGGCTACACCCAGGCCCAGGCCAAAATGGGGGAAAAGACCCCAGTTTAAGATTCAGGGCCTGAGCGAGGTACAGTTGACAAAAGTCAACTGTCSGAGACCCCAACAGTCGAGTCAAAATGTACCCAGCCCAGGCCGCCGGTCAGACACACATTTGTTTGTATGCAGGTACCCAGACAGCATCAGGTCCAAGGGGGAGTTCTGCAACTGTACACAATCCAGGCCCTCGGCTGTGATTCAATCTGGACGACTGAAGGGAAGGGACCGGAGCCCAGACTGCTTCGTCAAATGCTACTTAAGAGCTGGTCTTCGGGGGTTTGACATTCAGTCTTGCTATGATGCTTGGACGCTGGCTTGACTTCGACCAGAAGCTGGCATTGATGCTGGTACGACGCTGGCGAGACGCTAGCTGTGCGCAGGCACTGTGGACGACGACGCGGACTGTGATGGCATGCTGATGTGGCGCTGCCTCTGGTCTACATGGCATGCTGATGTGGTGTTGCCTATGGTCTACATTGCATCCTGATGTGGTGCTGCCTACGGTCTACATTGCATGCTGATGTGGCGCTGCCTATGGTCTACATTGCATGCAATGTGGCGCATGCCACAGGTCTACATTGCTGATGTGGCGCATGCCACTGGTCTTCATTGATGATGTGGTGCATGCCACCTGTCTCGACTGCTGACGTGGCATTGTCCATGTTGTCTACATGAGGTGACTGGTTGCGAGGAGGAGGAAGATCGGGATCTGTGGATGACTGGGATCGTGTACTCACCTAAGGTTCACGTCGTCACTTTATTCTGCTGAGTATTCATGGTCTTCACGAGATGAGAGTGCCACGTGGCACTAATGTGTGATCAGGATTATTATACTTGTTATCATATACTGGTTGTTGACGTGGAGAGGGAAGAAGCCCGGAGAAGAAGTGGGGTTTGATGGGATTATTATTGTGTGATCATTGATCATCTCTTCCATCTTCTCCTCTGTCTATTCCCCCTCCACTCTCTTCGTCTAATGGTAATGAGATACTGTTTCAGATATCATTTCACGTTAATTAGAGACTTTGCAGCAGATACCGTGACTACTGATATTTGACGACTGATGAGTATCTGCCAGACTGGGTTCATTACATTACAACCCGCACGGATTAAATCCATTGAATTCAGTTGAATGAACTTGAATCACAACAAGTCGATTCGCATCACATCGCATCGGATCGGATTGGACTGGATTTGATTGGATCGGATTGGATCGGATCAAATCGGGATGAAGCGCGACAGATTAGGACGGATACGGACGGATGGGGATGGGGATGGGGATGGGGATGGGGATGGGGATGGGGATGGGGATGGGGATACGGTCGGGTCAGATCGGACAGAATCGAATTGAACTGAATCGAACCAAATCAAATCAAATCAAATTGAATTGAAGATCCAGCACATGGGGCCGTAGACCAACGGAATGATCACCTGAAAGTCATTCACTGAGCACAAACACTCCAACCATCATTCACTGACCGAACATGACATTTCCCAAAGCACAGTGGGGTCCCACTCTGCACAGAAGTTCGCAAATAGATCAACACACCACTCACCGACTGTGAAAACGAAAAACTATCGCAGGTCTATCTTTTCCACATTCTAGTGGAAGATGCATTCTCCATTTTGCACGTTTGGTGAGTACTGCGCCGAGGCCTTAAGAAGAGAAAAGAGGTATTGAATCTATTGATGACATCCTACCTTTTCCATAACTTGTCCACAACCAACCTTCACACCTCAGTTTTTCATCACAAACGGATATTGACTTTTCTCGCTTCTCTCAGCCGGCTTCCTGGACAGTACTTCCCAGGCTACGTACCTCCATACCTTCGACCACCTTTCCTCTGCCAGTGGCCATTTCATTAATGGCGTTCTCTACCTCCCTGACTCCCTCCCTGTCCTTACAGGTTGACACCGGGTTTTCCAAAGAGTCTTTCTTCCGTTTCACTGTCAGAGAAGCTGACAGTACTCTTACCTAATCAACTCTTGCTCGACTTTTGCAAAACAGTACACTCCACACTCCTCCATGGCAATCAACAACTCCAGCGTTCCGAAACTCACTGAGCATGATTCATGAGTCGCGCAAGGTTCACGATTTTCATTCTTCTGTGGAGAAAAAGGGGGAACAAATACTGATTAAGACAAGAGACGGGATAAAAGGGAAACAAACGTTGATTAAACTTCCAGTACCCTGGCGAGCGTGTTCTCAAACATATCTGCGCCAATTTACAAAGCCTTTGGAAAAACTATGAAGCAGTCACAGCAAGTCCAATCAACAGCGCTTCTGATTCATTGGGCCATTTGTCTATTTTTTAGACTTTTCATTGCATCAGAGTTTCCATTTCTTGTCGTATTTTTTGAGGGGGTGGCCTTTCCCTTTCCATTTTGTCGCCTTTTCCTTCTTTGCCATCTTTCATTTCTTTTGTCCCCTTTTCCTTTGTCGTCACCTCGTCGTTTTCATTACGTAATCTTCAGGTTTTGTCGCCTTTCATTTGTGCATGATAAGTCTTGTCCCCGATTTCTAAAACAAGCCCCACCCAAACCAGTACATGGACGCGACCAAGTTGAGAGGCCGATTGAGCCTCTCCTAAAACTTTGGAGGCTCGCGCGCCGTCGATAATAAATCGATGGCCCGCGGCCGATGTATGGCATGTACTGGTGGTTTGGCCCCCAAGTTCTGCGACTGTTTAGACTTATCCTATATCTATAGTATATAGATACCATAGATACCATATAGAATATAAAATAAAGAACCAAGCAAGCAACCAACCTTCTTTAATCATATCGTTCAGTTCTTCCTCTGTAACCTCTCTTCCAAGCGTCTTTTCTGCCACGGCCAAAACTGCTCTCAAAGAGTGTTCAGCGCAATCATCGTCTTTCCCAATGCCTGCCTCTCTATCCGCTTCCCCTTCATTTCCAGGTTCCACTGGTACACATTCACCTTGATCCTCTTGATTCTTCAGCAACATCTCGGGACAAGAGCCATCCACTTCTTCTCTGGCCCCTCCCTCTCGCTCTCCCTCTTCCTCCCTTTGTTTTCCAGAGACGGCCACCTCTCCTTCATGATTATCCCCGGAAGAGCTCGTGGTTTCTGCTCTTCTTTCCTTATGACAATTATTACTTTCCTCTGGATCTCGGCAGGCATCATCCCTACCTACAGGAAGAGTCCCCTCTGGATCGCGGGTCTGCTCTTCTCCTTGTTCCTCTCTATCTTTCCCATTCCTCCTCTCAGTCATATCATGCCCCTTCCCTGGACTGCCTCCACTCTCTCCATTCCTCTCACTCTCAACCCCCACCTCTGTCCTACGCAAATCAACTCCCTGCCCCCTCTCTGCATCACTTGTCTTCCCCCCCTCCACATCACCCGCCATTTCTCTCCCTCCTACATCACTTCCATGGCCCCTGTCCAGATCACTAGCAACCACCACATTGCCCTTCTCTGCCGATCTATCATGTGCGTTGCCGTCCATTGTTGACGATGTCATGCAGCGCTCCGCCAACCCCTCATTTCCCTCCGCATCATGGTTTGGCTCCCGAGGGCTGCGAGAACCTGGCACAGACAGCGATAGCTCAAGTCCCCGTTTCAAAGCAGCATCCTCATCTTCTTCCATTTGGTGTGTCTCATCTACTCCTGTCTGCCTGCCACCACCTGCTCTCCCGGACGGGGAACTTCTAGGGCCTCTCGAAGGGGAAGACGGCCCCCCCGCTCCTTCCACCCCTCTTGCCTCCGCCTCCTGCAGATGATGCGTCCCACTCAGGTCACTGTCGTCTACTGATGGCAGCAGCCCTTTCAGAGCCACAAGCTTCTCCACAAGCGTGTTGTAGGAATGAGAACCAATTATTCTACACGTGGGCTCATCCTGACACGCCACCAACACACCGCAAACCCATCAGGACACTATGAGGAAGGGAAACAACAGGACATAGAAAAAAAAAAAAAAAAAAAAAGACAACAGAGAGGGGGGGGGGGGAGACATAAAAGGCAGAAAGTGGCCTCTCTGTTACCAAAGCTGGGGGCCGCACGGCCCCACCAAGATCATGACTACGCAGTCGTGTGTAGGGAGCAAAGGAGAAACCGTTTGAGAAAAGAGAGGAGTAGCATCTAGTCAAGAAGGTGACGACAATACTCGGGAGAGGGACCGAAAGAGGAAGGAGAAATAAAGGTAGGAGAAAAAAAAAAAAAAAAAAAAAGACAACAAAGAGAAGGGGCCAATAACAAAGGAAAAGGAAAAGGAAAAGAAGGGGAAGCCTTGTACCGGGGTTGCCAGAACACCAAGCACGGTGTGCAGGTCAGAAAGTGGATGGCTGTGCTCTACCATCTATATGCTGTTGCTGAGGCAAACACACCAGATATCGATCCACTATAAACACAACCAAACATGCCATATGCCAACTCCGCGTCAAGAACATCCATTGAGTGAAAAGTCCAGGAGACAAAACACTTCCTTCTTGACATCTGGCACGTGGTGGTGCGATTTTTCATCGGAGAGCAACATCGACTAAATGCGTTAAACAGTGAACCCTGTTTTCTTTCGCCCGATCCATTCCAAAATATGTAAGTGAGAAATTTGGCGGGGCGTTGGAGACGGTTTAACGGGTGATGCAATGCGGGAGAAGCAAAAGCTAGTTCTTTACTTTCAAACAAAAACATTCACTCAACCATCCATCTAGGTATATTCTTGTCAAGCCAGGTAATCACAGTTCACTCAAACATTCCAATGCAGTGCAGAAGCGGCGACACCTGGCTCCATACTTTCCAAAACATTTGCTCAACCATGCTTCTAGGTATCATCCAGCCAAATCATCGTTGTTAATCATGTCTGCCGCACAGACTGTCAGTCGCATAGGCAAAGCTCACACAACTGGGATTTGAGAAGCAAGGCTCAGGACAACATGGAAGCCAAAAGGAAGAACAATTATCAACGAGGGGGTTTGATGAGCAAGGGCACGGCAAAATAATGCAGAAAAGACAACAATATTCCCAGACTGCAATCAGACTTGCTTTCATTCACACTTTACATCCATGCAAACAGTAGCGCAGCAACTGGCGACATGCGCCCACTCAAAACTCGGAGATATGGCAACTCAGATATGGGTTCACTTTCAATGGCTATGGCGAAATAGGGCACAAACAACTCTCTGTTCGCATACAGTGGATCACCCTGGATATCCCACACGCTTCTCTCTGAACACTCACACACACACACACACTGAACACTAACTACAGCTATGGCGGCTATGGCCACCACTACCCTATCGCTATGGCTAAACTTTGTCTTCCTTGCCCACTTCGTCCTCGGGCTCACTGCAGACCTCCTTGCACAAGTCGCTGTGGCAGCGCTTCCGCATGGCTCACGCAGGAATGAATGAATGACTGGGCGCTGCCTCTTGATTTATACTTCTGCAGCTCGTTGGTCTGGCCCTTTCCCATGCCCGAAGTGCACACAGTCCCATGCGGTACTTGCTGGACTGGACCAGGACTGCCTAGGACTGGGACTGCTGACTCAGCACGGGCAGACTCCACCACTTGCCTCACCACTTGCCCACTTGCCTCAGTCTAAACGYGGGCAACTTCGAAAGGCCRCTACTGGAACCTTCCGGAARGCCGTRGACTTGGCCTTTCGTGAYTGTAGCAGCTACGACTTTGACCCTTCTGGACTGTAGCAGCTACGACCTTGACCTTTCGGGAAAGCTACAGCTACGACTTCTAGACCTGACTAAGACTCCTACTCGACAGGTCTACAGATCGAACCCCTGCTACCTATAGACCCTACGACAACCTACCAACTGTTACAAATACACAGGTCGCGGGTTCAACTCTAGGGGTCGACACAGATACTGTACACAGGTAAGGTGGGAACTAGGGATCGAGCCCTGGGATCTGCATCAGCTACTGCGAACTGGTGAATTCCGTTTCACTCCCACCGGCCTAAATTCGAGGTCCTCCGAGAATAACTCAGTCCAAGGCAGGACCTTTTCCTTTCCTATCTCTCTCATAGGCTCTAACTATAGCGGGAGCTGTTTCTAGAAGTTCTGTTCTTGTAAACCAGCGGTCGTCTGATAAGCAAACCGGACCTTATACTGTTTCTGTGGACGACCTCTACCTCCTGTTCGGAACACATCTTCGCCTACAATGCCGTCGATGTCATATCTCCCGTCCATGTCTGGAGGGATCATGGACCATCTAGATGGAAACTGCTGACTTGTGACACACGGCAGCAACTTTGATGCGTGAAACACAGGGTAGGTGTGGAGGTGTGCTGGTATCTCTACGGTGTAGGATGGCCCATCCTCTCTGCCCTTGACTTCTAGAACAGGCCACGAACATCTGTACGCGGGCAGTAACTTCTGCGAGATGTTCTCCTCAGGTGCAAACTCTTTGGACTTGACCCAGACCAAGTCGCCTACTTGAAACTCTGACGGGTGATGATGCTTATTCGCCTGCACTATCATGCGGTGTTGGGCCTTCCTGAGGTTCTCAACAACAGTCGCTATTTCTTTCTCATGCTGTATCGCGAACTCCCTGGTACCGGGCGGTAGCCTGTGAATCTGATCCCGGTTCAGTCCTTCAAACGGTCTACGTGGTCTAAAGGACTTGTGTAACTCGTTGGGAGTGTGACAGGTGGACAAATGCTCGCTGTTATTATATGCCCTGGCTACCTTGGGCAGCATCTCGTCCCAGTTAGTCTGATCAGGTCTAATGTACATGCGCAGAACTTGCTGCAGGATCTTGTTCATCTGTTCTGTCTGACCATTAGTCTCTGGATGGCGGCCAGACGACATCAACAACTTAGATCCATAGACTCTCATCAGCTCCTGCCAGTTCTGGCTGGTAAAGCGACTATCTCTATCGCTAACTATGGACAACGGGACTCCATGCTCACTAACCCAAAAATTGAAACGGTTTTCACCTTTTAGCAGTAGCGGATGCAGTACCCAGGGTTCGATCCCTAGACCTCACCCTACCTATGTACAGTATCTGTATAGATCCCGAGAATTGAACCTGTGACCTGTGCATTCGCAGATAGTTGGTGGGTCTGTCGTAGGTCCATAGGCAGTACAGGTTCGATCTGTAGGTCTATAGCGTAGAAGTCTTAGTGAGTTCCGGAAGCTTAGCTGTAGACCTTCTAGAAGGTAGGCAAGTGGGCAAGTGGTCAAGTGGCGAGGCAAGTGGTGGACTAAACCGCAGTGCAACAGCAGTACAACGTCGGCAGGATAGCGGTGAGTCCACAGTCAGTCAGCGGAAGGTCCAGTCAGTCCCAGTCCGGTCCAGCAAGTACCACAGGGGGACTGTGAGCACCAAGGGCCGATGGCAAAGGGCAGACCAACGAGTTTATGAAGTATAAATCAAGAGGCAGTGCCCAGCCATTCATTCATTCCTGCGTGAGCCATGCGGAAGCGCTGCCACAGCGACTTGTGCAAGGAGGTCTGCAGATGAGCCCGGAGGACGCAGTGGGCACAAGAGGAGGAGTTAGCATAGCGATAGGTTAGAGGCAGCCATAGCTGCCATAGCTGTAGTTAGTAGTGAGTGTGTGTGTGTGCTCGAGTGTTA